AGGAAATGTCCCATTATCGTAGCAGTTACATTAGTGGTAGTAACTTCATTAACAGTTACATTGTTTCCCTCTCAAAACCGGGCAGAGTTTCTGCTTCAACAGCGGCTTTTTTCAGGTGACACGTCTTCAGCAGCGTCATTTGTTCTGTTGTTCATTTTGTTCCAACTGAAATGTCCTGGACCATGATAATGCCAATCCTGTTAGCATGCACCACCTTTGGTTTACCTCGCTCACCACATTTTATTTGGAAAGTCATGTCTGAGAGACGATCCACTATGTCATATGGGCCTTCCCATGGAGAAGGCAACTTTGGATACTTCTCTTTGGTCCATCTGGGATTATACAACCACACCGTGTCTCCTGTTACAAAGCTAACTTCAGTAAATTTCTTATCATAACATAGCTTCATGGAATCAGTAGACGTTTTTAAGTTTGAATGCACTTGATGAAGAATATCATCCATCCTTTCAGATAACACTTTCACGAACTCTGACATATTTTCAGGCAACTCTTCAGAAGGTGGGCATCCTGTTATCAGGTCCACTGGCAACCAAAGTTCCCGACCAAACATCAGCTTTGCTGGAGTGTTTCCAGTGGCTTCATGCTCTGCTGTTCCATAGGCCATCAACAGTGGAGGGAGTAAGACATCCCAGTCATCTTGGCGGCTATTACAAAACTTTGCCAATTCCTGTCCCAGTATCCAATTGTACTTTTCTACCATCCCATCAGACTGTGGGTGAAGTGGCGTTGTCCTGGTCTTTTATATACCAATCAACTTGCAGCATTCATGGAACACAGCTGATTCAAAGTTACAGTCTTGATCAGAATGCAGTTTGTATGGCGTACCAAACCTGAAGAAGAAATCACTAATAGCCGAAGCTACAGTTGTAGCTTCCTGATTTGGTATTGCATATGCCTCAGGCCACTTGGTGAAATAATCCATCACCACACAAATGTACTTGTTTCCAGCACGAGGTTGGGGCAGAGGACCAGCAATGTCAACGGCTACTCTTTCCATTGGTGCACCAACTTGATATAACTTCATTGGAGCACATCCCTTATGCTTGGGGTCCCCTTTTAGCACAACATGCATTGCAGGCCCTGCACCATTTTTTTCACATCTTACCTGATAGCTATCCAGTAAAATCTCTGCCGTAGGTGACTCAATGTCTATTAAATCCAAGATGTCCTTCTGTTAAACTATCATGGGATTGACGTGACACAACTTACCATAACTTTCTCGGTATAACTGTTTGCAGTTCTCATCTGCAGTTTTCCATCTCCAGACAAGAATACCATCTT